ATAAGTATAGTGAGGAAAACTCACCTCGCAAGCTGAACAGAACTGATAAGGTCTAATTTCGAGTCTCAACTCTCAAACCGATACCTAATTTCATCAAATGACCAATTTCATCAAAATACCCAAAATACCCTCAAGGTCAAATTTGGTCAAAGTCAAAGTTAAAGTCTACTGGGCAAACCCACTAAGCCAAATGAGTCAACCCGACTGAGTCACTCACAAAGCTGGCCAATACGAGTGTGCATGACATAACCTCGGAACCCCAAATCTTCATTAATTCCTTAATGGCTTACTCTAGCCCATTTTCCAGATCCACGACTAAAACAAACCCTAGAGTCATAAAGTTTCCAAATTTATACTTTATGACTTTACACACCTAATAAGAGCTTAACACAAGGTATTAATCCATTAAGACCACCTACAAGATGCATGGAGCAAACTTAACCAAAGGGACTTCATTTTTATGGAGAAGGACCCTTCCTAACGCCTGAAAGGACAAATCAAACATCCAGAACATGTCATTCTTAAGATGATACTTTTGGGAGCAAAAAGATGACATAAAAACACCCAAAATGAGATCTAGCAAACAAGTCATCAAGGTATGAACTTTATACATTGAGATGATGGAGAAATGAGCAAAACTTCCATATACAAGCCTTGCTTCAAGCTTCCAAGCTTTAACACCACCTTCTTCTTCTTATGGAGTACTCACAACTCACACTCAACCTTCCATGGGATCAAGGGAGGCTAGAGTTGCAAGGGAAATCAACTTCTGCTAGTAGAGGATGAATATTAAGGAAGGAATGAGACTTGAGGATGTTTAAATACTTGCCAAACCCTAAAAATTAGGCTTTCCACTTTTAGGAAGTATGCCCAGCGTACCAAGATGTACACCTAGTGTACTAGGGTGCATCCTAGTACACTTAGCGTACACCTCGTATGCATGGCGTACTCCGAAGCCATAATTACAAAAATGCCATTCAGGCCCTTATGCTTACAACTATTGAACTTTAAGACCAATTGCAATACAATTAAATTAAAGGACTGGAAAATAGGATTACCTTGACATCAGGATGTTACAAAAAATTAGATCAACTTTACATCTAATATTTTTTTAGGTTGGTTTCGTACCTAAGAATATTATCAACTTGGTGATTCTAGAAGTATTAACTTAAACTAATAAATTATCAGTTAAATGAGGGTTAAAGTAAGAATGATTTTTCTTAAAGAGGAATCTTGAGGATGATTAAGGGCAAGACTTTTCAATTTTTTGAAATCTTTGCATCTGCAATACAGAAAGATATCATCAATAATTAAGCAATAGTATAATAATTAAAGTTCCATTCATTATAACAAATATAAAACCAAATAGGAATTCAAATACAAGAAATCATAAATTTAAGACAATTACAAGCCTAAAATAAAGAACTAAATGATGGGTTTTATACAAACAATCTTATGTATGCATGCAACCCTAATTGGATCTATGTTTTCACTATTAGACATACAACTTTATGAACATAGAAAGAAACCTAGCATGCATCTATTATTTTCGAAATTCACATATTAGAATAGAATACATACCTTCGTTGTTATATAGCAATAACAACTAGTTCCTTGAATTTCCTTAGCTCTTGAAAGCAAGTACCACAAGTGTAATACCTCTAATGGCTCACAAACACACTTTAGTGAGAGGATGAACATGAGAGAGAGGAGGGTAGGTAACAAGCTCCAAAAATCGGCTCTACTAGGGTTTCTCCAAGGGGGTGCCAAATTTTAGTGCCTTAGAGTGCTATTTATACTTGAGGCCAACTAGGGTTTCAGGGTGGAGAAACCCTTATCCCTTAGCCTTGGACGAAAACACCTAGAGCCTTCTAGGATTTTCGGCCCTTTCCTAATAAGGTGATCTATTGGCCCAAGTCTCAACTATCAAATAATTACAAAACAGCCCTTGTACTTTTTAATCAGTTCCTTTAATCCCAAAATTAATTCCTAATTAATTTTAGATTAAATACTACCTAATAATATGATTCCAAATTAATATATTATTCAGATAATATATTAACAAATCAGCCTCTCTCCTGAACAGTCATCCTATCTAGTCACCAGTGTGAAGGCAACCCAAAATGATCATGCTACAACCACGTCAAGTATATACCAAATATAGTTATGGATTTAGAAACTAATCCAACACTAAAAACTTATTAAATGTAAAAAAAAAAAAAAAAAAAAAAAAAAAAAAAAAAAAATATAAAGACAGTTGATACATACCACTTTAACAAATATAATACTAAATTAATGTATAAATTGACCGCGTCACTTTTCAAATTTTAAATATTGGTAAATTGGTCTTTCATATTACAATAAATTACTAAATCACGAATTGGGGATATACCTCTCTCTTGAAGTACACAGACCAATACACAATTTTAAATCCACATACCATTTCTAAATCCTGGAAAAAAACAAAGGAATTAAGTTTATCACCATATACATAACTAATCATGTTTGTGTGCAGCAATAAAGCACTGAAAATAGCAAAGAGACTTATAGATCCATCAAGAGAAATATATTTCAAACCCAACACATAACCGACTATGGCGATGATCTGAACTCCATTGATTGGGTAGGCACATTTGAGAAGGTGTTAGGTGCTCGAAGGGGACATTTGAGAGGCATCGGGCCTAAACCTCCTTTCGTGGTGGGTACAAGTGCTCCGTCTTGGTGACAGACACAGTCATAGTCTCCAACACCACAACCAACATAGATATTCATTAAACTCTTAAAGAATTTGGTATGTTGGTACTTTGTTGTGTTGTTAAGAGCTTAATGCATTTAATAGTAAATTTTGGTAGTTTGGTATTTTGCTTATTTGTTAAGTGCTACATTCATTTGTTCTAAATTTGGTAATTTGGCATTTTGTTAAATTGTTAAGAACTTAATTGATTTGGTGGTTTGATAGTTTGTTAAATTGTTAAGAACTTAATTGATTTGGTTGTTTAATAATTTGTTAAATTGTTAATGACTTAATGTGCTTGAGACTTAATTGTTAAGTAATAATAATTTGTTTTTTTAGTTTGATATTTTAACTTATATACTTACTTTGTAGGATGTGGATGTTGACGCTTTTCGTCAAAACCCGACGTTTGTGACGGCAATTGGAGACATTATCCGCTCATTTAGTAACAAAGCCAACAATGCGAGCAATAACGATGCGGAAAACGACGATGGGAAAGATGACTAGTATTTCTTGTTTTATGATTTTGATGATGTTATTATGATTTAATTTTATGGATCAGATCAACTAGTATTTCATTTTTATTAGATCATTTATGTAATGTGATATATTTTGTTTATATTATTGTGATGTTTTATGTAATGCAAATTTCTAGATTATGATTTTTGTATTTTTTTTTCTTTTTGTAAATTCTGCATTTTTATAGTATAAACCAATATAAAATATAAATTTTATTAAAAAAAATCATTAGCAGCGACTGCTTTAGCGACGCCTGTAATCAATTGAAACGACAATCAACTCCAGGAAGCTTTTCCATAATAGCTTCAGCTAGGAAGCTTTTCCATAATAGCTTCAGCTGGTCACCGGAAAGTTATTAGCGACATCTTTTTTTTGCGATGACATTGGCTATTAGCGATGCCGACTATTAGATACGACGCTAATAGCGACGATTGTTTAAGTATTAGCTACGAGGTAATTGTGGCGGTGCATTGCGACAATATATCGTCACTAATACCTTACGACGATTTTTGTAATTAATTGTGACGATTTTTGTTGTTGCTAAGAGTGACTTTTTTGTTGTGAACCTTCTCCACCCGTCTTATAGAAATACTTGATGTTTGAATTTTATCTTTGATCATTTCTCAAAAGTTAAGATCCATCTCAACCAATCTCATTCGTCCACTTCTTCATGTAATTTTGTTATCTGACCTTTTATGCATCTCTAATCAACGGTCTGGAATTTATATTTATAAAATTAAAAGAAATGTTAGTAAAATGTAAATACATATATAAAAAATAATCCCCCCATGAAATAATAACCGAAGAAAAGCGATTGAGAAATAAATAAAGGGAGGGAGAGAGAGGAGTGGTTGTGCACGGTTGGGGAGGGGGGGCGGTGGTTGTGCGGAGATTAGTCGTCTTCAAACATCCCTCCTCTCTCATCTCTTCCACACTGCCATTGTTGTCTATATTTAACATACCAATTCTCCACATTTCCAGATTTTTTTTTCTCTTTTTTAATTTCTTATTGACCACCTTTTCTGCCTTCGAGTTCTTCAATTAATTAGCTTCTCCTTTTCTCTCTCTTTTTATGCATGTATAAAGAGAGATAAAAAGGAGTCGTGTGTGTTTTATGTTGCTTGTTATCTGTTATTGCTCTTTGATAGCATTAATCATATACAAAGGAGATTGGATTGTTATTTAGGTGAAATATCAAGGTACGTAATCAAATTCTTGTCACTTTTTGAATCTGTAATGTTATTGATTCGTTTCCACGTTGTTACATTTCTATCGATTCCCAAACTTAGGTTAAACATGCTGGAGTTTTCAGATTTTTCAATAGATTGGTTTATCTCTTCGATCATGCATAGTTTTGATTTTGATTCTCGATGTCGATATATAATTATACAAAATATTTATTCCATTGCTATGATTCTGTTCGTAGTGTTTTCAAAACGAAAAATAATTAACACTTTGCGAGATTTCAATTTCACAATAAGCATGGGTGCATGGCTATATGTGCTTATAAGTCGTGAATTGTGATCGTTCGTTACGAATTGAATTCATAGTTTGCAATTATCTGCACCACATTTAGACAATCATCTTGTTCAAATTTCAATACCTTTATTTTGGTTCTTGTATGTTGTATGTAATGTCAACTGAATATTTAAGAAGGTTTAATTAGGTTGATTAATGGGGTTCCTTGTGGTATGCAGAAACAACAGTTGGGGCAAATCGCATCTAATTAAGCCATTAAGGAATAAAAATGGCGGAACTTAGCGTACAAACAGGGTCATCTCACCCCTTGTTGGCCCATAAAGACCTTTTCCTAATCAATCCTCCGGGAAGCCCATTGAGCACACAAGAGCTTGACAACAACATCATCGACTTAGACAAAGCCAGTCCTCTAGCTCCCGACACTTATGAGCAGTTGTATCTTGATGCATTTGATGTGCAAAGCTTCAATCACTCTCCTCCAAGACTTTCCAGCGTGTCATCATATGCTACTACTCCAGAACCAAAAATCAATAAACCAGAGCTACGCTGTCGTACTGGAGGAGACACTAAGCCTATCACCAAAAAGCCTGTAATTAATAATGTTGAAAGCAAGGTCATGAAGACATTGAATCGTTCTCCAAGTACAAAAAGTGTAACAAGCACTGTATCTTCTCCAAGATCTCCAAGAATCCCAAAGCCAAAAATAAGGAGCAAGTCTTTCCACGAAAACAACCTCACTCTACCTCTCGCAAGCCCAAGAAAAGTCGAAAAGAGCCCCATTACTCCCACCCAAACACCACCAACGGGGAAAGAAGATCCGGCATTCTTAGGGCCTTACTTGCTTAAACAAACGAGGGAGTTGTTGTCAGCAGGGGAGAATCCAAAGAAAGCTTTGGAATTGGGTATAAGAGCAATGAGAGCATTTGAAACCAATAGATCTCAGAAACCTAATTTGGAATATGTTCTATGTTTACACATCGTAGCAGCATTGTACTGTAGTTTAGGCCAATATTTTAATGCCATTCCTCTTCTAGAACGTTCTATCGAGATTCCAAGTATGGGTGAAGGCCAAAATAACTCACTAGCTAAGTTTGCGGGGTGTATGCAGTTAGGCGATACGTATGCAATGCTTGGATACATCGAAAATTCCATATTATGTTACACAAATGGTTTAGGAATCCAAAGACAAGTTTTAGGTGTAACAGATCCAAGATTTGGAGAGACATGCAGGTATGTAGCCGAAGCTCATATTCAAGCTTTGGAATTCGATGAAGCCAAGAAACTATGCGAAATGGCTCTTGACATTCACAAAGCAAATGGGACAACAGCTTCTGTAGAAGAAGCAGCAGATAGGAGACTTATGGGTCTTGTTTGCGATGCGAAAGGAGAATACGAAGCTGCACTTGAACATTACGTGTTGGCCAGCATCACCATGTCAGCCGCCGGTCAAGACGCCGATGTTGCCGCCATTGACGTGTGTATCGGTGACGCGTATTTATCGTTAGCTCGTTATGATGAAGCTGTTTTCGCGTATCAGAAAGCGTTGAATGTGTTTAAGTCGACAAAAGGTGACAATCATCCATCTGTTGCTTCCGTTTTCGTTCGTTTGGCTGAGTTGTACAACAGAATGGGAAAGTTCCGGGAGTCGAAATCTTACTGTGGAAATGCGTTACGAATTTATGAGAAACCGATGCCGGGGAGCCCTAACGATGAAATCGCTAATGGGTTTATCGAAGTTTCTGCGATTTACGAATCGATGAATGAACTTGGTCCAGCGATTAACCTTCTGAAGAAGGCGCTGAAAGTTTTCGGGAAGGTTCAAGGTCAATTGAGCACCATCGCCGGAGTTGAAGCTCAGATGGGGGTTTTGTATTACATGATGCGGCTTTACAACGATTCGTATGATTACTTTAAGATCGCGGTTTCGAAGCTGAGAGTGGTGGCGGAGAAGAAATCGGCTTTATTTGGTAGTGTTTTGAATCAGATGGGATTAGCTTGTGTCCAGATTGAATTGTTGGATGAAGCTGCGGATTTATTTGAAGAAGCAAAGGGAGTTTTGGAGGTGGAATATGGTCCTCATCATCCGGAGACACTCGGCGTTTACAGTAATCTGGCCGGAACTTATGATGCAATGGGTAGATGGGAAGATGCGATTGAGATACTGGAATATGTGGTGGGGATGAGAGAGGAGAAACTGGGAACAGCGAGTTCGGACGTTGATGATGAGAAACGACGGCTGGCCCAGTTGTTAAAAGATGCACGCAGGGACCGAAGCAAGAAATCTTTGTCGCTTGAATTTCTCCTTGAGGGTTAAATTAGTCGAGTATCTCTCTTAATTTATTTAAAAACCAATCCACATATTGATCCAAATGTATGAAATTCCCATGTGCATATATGCAGATGCTTCGTTTTTTGTATATCTGGGGTTGTTTAGGCTATGGCTATGGAGACCCTTTTAATTGTATCAATGACATCTCAAGGGTAGCAGAAATGGTTCACTTTTCAATCTTTATTGTTGAAAGTTGCTCATGGGATGAAGTTGATTTAAATACAGTAACACAAGATTGTAAGTTTGTTGTACTAATTTGAGCTTGTAGAATAAATTTAACTCCTTTCACTTTTTAATCTTTAGAGCGTGTTCTACAGCTTGGGTTTCTACACATTGGTTCATGTGTCCTTTTTATGTGATCGAGAATTCGAGATAATTATTAACAAGCAAACAATAATATTCTAATCGATTTGGGATACATCACTTAGTTGACTACAAAACTGTCTCTAGTTTTCACATAAAAAATTTACATTAAACTAACAATTAAGATCTCTCCCTAGAAAGCATCCAAAGCAGCTCCTTTGGTAAAAAAAAGATCACCATCTAAACATATAGTGTTACCACTACAATCACCATGCATGGCAGTAATCACACCTGTCATCCCAGTTGCTCCGCCCCTGCTTAAGATTAAATTAGTTTATATGAAAATGCACTCTGCAACTCCTAAACTCGCAATGTCACAAAAATTGAGCTCAACACATCTCGAACTCAATCACACTAAAGATGACACTAAAATTACTTACATTATATTTTGAAACATTAATTTTAAACAAAAATAATTTAACTAAAGTGACATGAAGATGTTAGGGGCTTAGGGCCTTAGGGGTCATGTGGCACACTTTAGTCTTTAGGGACAACATAAATCGAACCAAACGAGTTGGTTTTTTAATTTTGAAAAGTAAAATAATTGAGAGTTTTGATTTTTCGGCATACAAATTAGGGAATATGACTTATCAAGGTAATTAACTTTTCGATATGTTCACATCTGGGTAACTATCTTTTTTTGTATGTATGTAGGTAACAAACTTTTTGGAAGTGTTCACATATGACCATTATGACCTGCTATAGCAGGTTAAATCCTAGATGTGAACGATTTCAACAAGTTTGTTACCTAGATGTGTACAAAAAAAATAGTTACCCAAATATGAACTAAACGAAAAGTAAAAATTAAATTACATGAACGTTCCTGTGGTTTCGGGGAATTTGTAGTTGTAACACCCCAAAGTTTGGAAAGTCAAGAAAAGAAAGAAGACCTCAATTTTAAGGAGAGACTCGGCGAGTCCGAGCGGGATCCGGGTCGTGGTGTAAGCGACCGACTCGGCGAGTCGGCCAAGGAGACTCAACGAGTTGGGTCTGATCGAGGAAAACCCTAAATTCGGGACTTGGAGCGTATATAAGCGTCTCATTCTCCTTCCTAGGGTTCCTTTACTGCCTCTCTACCCCAGAACACCAAACCCTAGCCGCCATATCCGTTTTTGAGCTAGATCTTGCCTTGAAGAATGCACTAAAGCTTGGAGGAGGAAGAAAGACCTTGGAGGTGCAAGAAGGGACTGTAGATCTGGGATTGTGGAGTCATTTCAGAACAATTGGAGGTAATAAGCTGTTGCTTGGACTCCCTTTGCATCTAGATCTATTCTTATGTGTGAGTTTTGGTCATTGTTGGTTTGTTATGTAACCAATTCGAGTTGGAGGTTCAGATCTGAGGTTGCTACCTCAGATCCATGTTGGTTTTGGTCTTGAATCCCCTAAAGTATCAGCCCTTGGTATGTTGAAGAAGCATGGTTGCCATAAACCCTAATTTAGTATGTTTTGAGCATAGATCTCTCAATCTACACGTAAAGTTTGCCACTTTACGTGGGGAATAGGCCCTAGAAGTATGGATCTATGAGTTGGAAGTTCTGTTTGGCTCGAAAAGCCACTGCATGGATTGAGGACTGGATAGACTCGGCGAGTAGCTTGAAGATGAGGAGGAACTCGACGAGTAGGATGAGCAGCTCGTCGAGTCGGATGAAGTTAGGCATGGCCTCGGCGAGTTGGATGAACAACTCGACGAGTTGGTTGAAGATTGTCTAGGACTCGGCGAGTCTGTTCTTGGACTCGGCGAGTCAGATCGCGAAACCCTAAACCCTTCGAGTTGAGACTCGAATCAGTGAGTCGGGTGGTGACTCAGCGAGTTGGACAGGACAGGACTTGGAACTAGTTGGACTCGGCGAGTCATAGACTGACTCGGCGAGTCGAGTCGCGAATAAGAAAGACCCTGAGCGTAGGAACTCGGCGAGTCAGTAGGTAAACTCGGCGAGTAGGGTTGACCTGGAAGGTTGACATTGACTAGGATTTTGACCTTGACCAGAGTTGACCTAGTGACCTTTGGAGGTCAGTTGGACTAAGTGTTTTATTGGCTTTTGAAGCTCGAAGAGTTAGTGGAGCAGCAGTTCGGAGTCAGAGGTCAAGTAGCAGTCAAGAGGATTAGCAGCATCAGTTCAGCAGTCTCAGGTGAGTTTCCTTCCAGTAGGGACGGGTCTAAGGCCACAATGCCGGCCCGTTCAGTTAGCAGTAGTTTCCGGACTTCGGTCCGATGCAGTAGTTAGTATGTTTGATGCCTTCGTGGCTCAGACAGGATTTATGTGCTATGTTTTATGTGTTATGTGTTATGTGTTCCGGGCTACGGCCCGATGTAGTATGCAGTATATGTGTTCATGCTAGTTGATATGTTATGCTATGCTATGTTCAGTCAGTTAGCCGGACTTCGGTCCGATGCAGGGGACAAGGTCCCAGTCAGTTTCCGGACTTCGGTCCGATGCAGGGGGCAAGGCCCCAGTTAGCCCGGACTTCGGTCCGATGCAGGGGACAAGGTCCCAGTCAGTTTCCGGACTTCGGTCCGATGCAGGGGGCAAGGCCCTAGTTAGTCCGGACTTCGGTCCGATAGGGGACAAGGTCCCAGTCAGTTTCCGGACTTCGGTCCGATGTAGGGGGCAAGGCCCCAGTTAGTCCGGACATTGGTCCGATGCAGTGGGCAAGGCCCAGTATGTGCTTTATATGTTGTTGTATGGTATGTGTTAGATTGGGGGAGCTCACTAAGCTTCGTGCTTACGGTTTTCAGTTTTGGTTTCAGGTACTCAGTTTTCAAAAGAGGAGCTCGGGGAGATTGCAGTGCACACACCATAGTCAGTTAGCCTGGGAATGTTTGACTCTGATAATGATATTATGTTTTGAATTAATACTCGAGAATTTATGTTATGACTTATGATACAGTTTTTATAAATATGATTCTAGTAATGCTTTTAAAGAAATTTTTTTGTCGTGATTTTTGGGTCGTTTCAAGTTGGTATCAGAGCCTTGGTTTGAGGGATTCAGATATGCATTCGAGTGTATTTGAACTCAAACTAAGGACACGATAAAGGATTTTCAAAAGAAAACATTTTTGAAAAAGGGTTTTGGAAAAAGAACTTAGAAAGAAAAGAGTTTTGAAAACGAGAAAAGGGTGTGGTGCATGCAATCAGCCGAGCTCAAGTAAGTACTCCCAATTTACCCATACAAGTTATGTTATGATCATCATTATCAGTTTCAGTTTCAGTTTCAGCTTCAGTAGAACAGCATGCTAGAATAAGACTAAGGATCTAGGATGATGCCTTATGTGCCTGTTTTATGTGTTTCAGCTGATAAGAATTGCATGCTAGTATTGAGTAGACAGTAGTAGGATAGCCTGTGTAGGTTATGCCTGATAGCATGAGCTTAGCATTGTATGCTAGTGCAGTTTCTTGTTATGAGAATTGTTTTGCCTAAGTATGTTTCCTTTATCCGAATGCTGCTTGCTTTGTGCTTTGTGGGACTCTGAGTGATGGGAGTTAGCCATTAGGTGAATACGTCACATCACATGTGATTAGGGTTGGATAATCTAAGAGTGCTAGATTTGGCCCTACTGCGCAGCTCTTGTCTGAGTCCAACCGTTGTAGGGACGAGACTTTTACTCGAAGGATTATCCGAGCCTCATCACATGTGATGGTATTCAGGTGGTGGCTAATTGGCATTACAAGGAGGCCTTCAGCAGCTGAGGACTGTTTGGGTAGAGTCAGAGGTTCCCTAGGGCAAGCCTAGGATGAGAGTAGCAGAGATCAGTAGAAGAGTAAAGGGGACTTGGTGGAGTTGAGGTAACTCTTGAGGAAAGTACGGATAGATGTGGAAGGTAGTAGGGGCCCATACTACTGAAAGCAGAGGATCCGTACTCGATTCAAGAGGGGCCGAGGCGAAACCAAGGAACTAGTAGAGTATGTGAGAGATCCCTCAGCAGTAGTATGTAATTGATCAGGGATTGTTATATTTTCAGCATGGTGACGTTGCGCGAGATATCAGTTGGCAGTTCAGGTGCAGGGGAGGGGTCTGGCTCGGGCTTTAGAGCCGGGCAGCTTGATGATCAGATGAGGGATTTCATTTCCGCAGAGATTATGCGCAACATCATCGATCAGACTCCAGTGATTTTCGGTTCAGTTAGAGAGGCTATTGTGGAGCTCATGGACAGTCATCTTGAGGCCTTTAGGGCCGGGTTAGTTTCAGGACAGATTGGGGCTCGTCTAGGTCCCGAATCTTATGGAGTTCAGGGATCCATCAGGGAGGGAGATCCCATTTCTAGTTTCTGCTATCAGGGGGCAGGGGTGTGTGGGGCATTCTGTCTCCAAGAGAAACCATTGCATGATTGGATAGTTGAGGAAGTTTCGCGAGCCATTCGCGAGGGTCTGCCAGACATGGTCGTGAGGATCACTGATAGATTGATAGCGAGGCTTCAGGATCAGACATCTGTTGTTCAGTCAGCAGACGTTGCCGTTGGGGTAACGCAGGAGCGAGAGTCGGGCAGGGAGTCGGAAGGGAAGAGGAAAATGGATGAGACTCAGGTTGCCACAGGTTCGAGTAAGAGGCCCAAGAGTTCAGATTTGAGGACGAGGAACTATCAGAGCCGCAGTCGATGCGGGAAGTGCGGAAGGACGCACATG